TGCCCACGCTGCTTTGGATGCAGCCCAGGATACAGATCCTGTTAGAGGATCAGGATTCCTCCTCCATCCACCTGTGCTCGGAGAGCCAGTTACTATCCGCATGGCTCCGATCTGCAAGGTACAAAGCCAGTTTCTAATCCAGTCACTGCCAGTTGAAGGGATCAGCTCACACCATTGCTGTCCTGAGAGGCTCTTGCAGCCGTCCTTCGTTGCAGCCATCTCTCTCTGGCCTGGCCAGCAGTGTGGAAGCAAAAAGCTTAACGCCCTGCGCCCGCAACCTTTTGTGGTTGCTACTGAAAATAAAAAGAGCGAAATTAATTTGCCAATAGTGGATGTGCTACTAACAGAAACACATCCCACTTGTACCTAACACCAGTAGGTTTTTTATGGCACATTTGCTGTGTCTAAAAATACTCTCCTTTTTTTTTTTTCTAGCAACCAATTTCATTTAAAGACTATTTTCACACATCAGTGGCTGTTAATCAGTTAAGGAGTTATCAGTTTTAATATTAGGAAGAAAGAAGCAGATCTCATCAGCAGCTTCAAACTTTATTTCACTTCTTTTCAGCTGGCTTGCAGCAGATTTTGGTGAATCTTAGGCTCATCTTATTTCTCCTCCTTTTCCCACCGCCTTGAAAATAGAGTTAGTACTGCTACGTGTGTGACTGTACTGTGCTAGTTCTACGTATCCTTTCAAGAGATGTTGAATTAGAAATACTGAGATAAAAATATAAGAAGAGTAAAAAAAAGATTTAATTAGAAATTAAACCCCAGACACCCATGTAATTTTAAATAAAGCCATGTATACTTCATGAAGAGATTATAAGGTCGACTGTCAGAAGAGGAATCACAGAATCACAGAATGTCAGAGATTGGAAGGGACCTCAAAGGATCATCTAGTCCAATCCCCCTGCCGGAGCAGGACCACCTAGATCAGATCACACAAGAACACGTCCAGGCGAGTTTTGGACATCTCCAGAGAAGGAGACTCCACAGCCTCTCTGGGCAGCCTGTTCCAGTGTTCTGGTACCCTTACTGGGAAGAAGTTCTTCTTCATGTTGAAGCGGAACCTCCTGTGTTCCAGCTTATATCCAGTTCCCCTTGTCCTATCATTGGATACCACTGAGAAGAGCCTGGCTCCATCCTCACGACAGTCACCCTTTCCATATTTATAAACATGAATGAGGTCCCCCCTCAGTCTCCTCTTCTCCAAGCTAAAGAGACCCAGCTCCCTCAGCCTTTCCTCATGAGGGAGATGCTCCACTCCCTTCATCATCCAGCAGTTCCTTGTCCTTCTTGAACTGAGGGGCCCAGAACTGGACACAATATTCCAGATGCGGCCTCACCAGGGCAGAGTAGAGGGGGAGGAGAACCTCTCTCGACCTACTCACCACACCCCTTCTAATACACCCCAGGGTGTCATTGGCCTTACTAGAATGGTAAGATAAAGACCATTGGGTGTTTATGGTAGGTACCATAAAGGTACCTACCATAGGCACATGCAAGGTACGTGCAAGGCACGGTACAGGCTGTTGGTGGCCCCGTTCTGCTCTGAATCCAATTTCTAAAATATCTGAGGCATTGCCACCAGTGGCAGAAAGATGACATGGTACCAGCTTTTGACTGTTGAGCTCAGCCAAGAGTGTACCCAGATGGCTACTGCAATGCCTCCTGTGCAGTGTGGAGGCATAAGATGTTCCTGGGTCAGCTATTGTCTAGCAGCATCCATTTCATCGCAGCATCCCTGTTTATTAGAGGATTGCTGCTCGAACCACCTCACCGGCTGCCCTCTCTTTTGTGTCGTGTACAAGGCAAACATAGGAAAGAGTACAGAGGAAAACATAATCGGTGCTAGTTGTGCTTGAAACACCCATGCAGCTACAGCTGCTACCACTCCTAAGGATGGTAGTACAAGTGTGGTTTCCATCATGAGTGGTCCCCAAGCTGCTGCTTGCAAGAGGCTGGAAGACTGTGCTGGAGGAACCCTGCGAATCCTGCTCTGCCCTCCCCAGAGCATCTGCTTGCAGGGCTGTGGACTCGGCATGCCACCACTCGCTTTGGTAATTTTTCCATTTATTTTTATCTTCCATCCTCTCTTTTTTTTTTTGCATGTCCCATCTCCTGTCCCTGAAGTCTTCCTTTCTCACTGACACAAGAATATTTCACTTAGATAGGACAGCACGCTGCTCTGCTGGCTATTTGTTATGAAGACTCATGTTGAAATTTTCAGTGTCATTTAATGCTCTCGAATGTTCCTCCTTACACCTTTTGGATAGAGAAGGGCTTGCCTGACCCATGGGAGCCTGCAGATCATACGAAAATTGGTCCAGCTCAGTTTCAGAACACCTTTCCCTGGAGGTGTTCAAGGCCAGGTTGGATGAGGCTTTGGGCAACCTGGTGTAGTGGAGGGTGTCCCTGCCCATGGCAGGGGGGTTGGAACTAGATGATCTTTGAGGTCCCTTCCAACCCAAACCATTCTATGATTCATTTCGCATCCCTCATTAAAACACGGGTTATTGGTGTTGTACATCTGTTGGCTCCGTACTTACTCATGAAAAACAAACATTCTCTTTGAGCTGAGCTACGTATCATACCGTCGTTAACAAGCTGCACCTCGTTGAAAATCTGTCAAGGAAAACTGACTTATTTTGCATTTGCTGCTTTGCACAAAATAGAAGCACGGTAAACTCTTGTGCCGTAATGATTTTCTGTCTGTCTTGATGGGACATAATGAGACAAATTCAAGTCCTTTTTTGAAGGCTAATTACATCGAGTACACACTAGACGTGGGCTGCCCTCGTTATATGTTGCGCATTTCTGTGCTTTCATTTCCCCATCTCAATTGTCTGCAAGTGCAAGTGAGTTTGATTTGACTTTGAAATACAAATTGTAGGCTAGAGAGGAGCCGTTTGGTGGTCTCCTCTCCCAGAAGACTCTCCAGAGATTGTATAACAAGTCCTTGCTGTAGGTAGGCTGGCATTTGAAGGTGGCTGTGAAGTAATTGAAAGAACTTCACTCTGTGCTAGAAACTGAGGACTGTGCCATAAAGCATGAGGGCAACTCGTGGCAAGTCAATAAACTTGGCCCTAGGTCTGTTCACTGGTCCTGGTGGACGGACACAAAGCAGATGAACTGCATCCTGCAGAACTCACAGCCTAGGTATGGAGTAATTCTGGAAATTGAGGTTTAAAAACCTGTAAATAAATCCCTCCGGTCCTACCAGTTGTTCTCTGCCTGTCTTGTGGGAAGAAAAGGGAGCTGGGGGAAGGTGTGGGAGGGTGCCTGGTTTGGGGAAGTCAGCAGGGATTCTGGAGATGAGCATCCCCTAGAGTAGGATAGAGAGGCTGCAGATACATGAGACCTGGTAGCCCATGATGGACTTGGGATGCGTCAGAGTTGCATGACACTTGCTGTGAGAGCCTCGTGGTCTGGGCAAGACTGGAGGTGGGGCTGGGAGAAGGTCTACTTTTGGATCACACCCCTTTTGATGCATGAGTGATCTTCATCGGCAAAGACTTACTGGTTGGCTGTAGGAATTGATGTGCAAGTGTCTTGCCTTTGGTGAAGAAACTAGTGACGTGAAAGGGAAGATGTCGAGAGAGCTTCTCTGGTATTGCAGGAAGTAGAGACAACTTTAGAGGCAGTTGTCCTAGTTTGTCCATCAGAGTAAAAGATATCACTCGTGAAAGCCTATACTTTATCTGCAGTGAAAACGAATTCTGTCATCACTGGCTGAATTTTAGCACATGACCTTCGTGCTGTGATTGTCTGGAACATTCCTGGTGGGATGAAATTAATGCTTTTGCTGTGAGCTCGTTTTCTTTGCAAGCTAATTACAACTGGGGACATTTGAATGCAGCTGGAAAGGCTCTGGGATTTCCAGGTAACTTCTGTCAAGTCTGATAGCAGACTTGTGCACCACTGATATCATACTGGGTAGAATTATTTTGAGCATCTCTAAAGGGAAAAAAGTAGCAGCACTTTGGAGCTGTTTTAACGTGTCTCTGCTTTTTGAGACAAATAGAAAATCAAGTTTTCCTTCTTTTGCCAACAGTGAGTTTTTAGTTCTGCATATAATGGTCTGATTACAAGGCCAGCTGGTTTTTTCCCAAAGCCAAGGTGGATACATGCAAACCTGTGGCTGTCACTGCTCCTGGCTGAGCGTGCGCATGCAGGTGAAGTGCAAAGTGCTTTGCTTGGGTGGAAGAGCACTTGTTTCAGGAGCCTGGGAACAAGATATTAATGTATTCACTTCAAATTATTTAAAAAAAAAAAAAAAGAAAAGATAATCCCAAGCTACCCTTAGCCATATATTATATTTGTGAGAACAAAAATAGCTCTTGTATCAAGTCTTGGTGCCTCGTCACGCATGTATAGAGGAGCTGGAAGGAATATCTTGTATGGTGAGCGTGCCTGGTTCAGGCTATACCCAGTGCAGTCTGTCTTATGTGGAGCATTTTAAAATTCAACATAGACTTACAGGGCAAAAGACCCTAGGGAAGCAGCCTTATCACAATGTCTTAAAGCTGTCCATCTTGAGATCCCCTCCGCAATCGTGTTGCTGTTTGTTTGCAGAGACATTGATTTCTGGGTGTAGAACATCCTAAACGAAAACCATGAGATGTATTTTACCTGTTTTTCTAAGACTGAATGAAAAAAAACCAAAAACAACCCAAACACAATAACGTTTTCGAAAGCAGAGCTCAAAAGGTGTTACTTCTGATGCATTCAATGAGGAAAATAAATACCCAGCAAAGGAAGATGTAGGGGAAAAAAATAATCAACAGCTTCTTATTCTCTTTTCCAGTAGATATTTAAGTGTGTACTCTGTGTTAGTGGCATAGACTGTTTTAAAATATGCAAACCAAATAGCTCACGAATGTTTTTCTGTTTTCCAGCTGAAGATATACTTGTTTTTTTTTTTTTTTTTTAAAAAAAGGAAATGTGAAGAGATGAATTTTATGATGGGAGAGCTTAGCCTGTGGTTCTTCTTTTCACAGTATGCAGACCTGGGTTCTTCAAAGCTTCACCCCACAGTCCATCCTGCAGCAAATGTCCCCCTCACAGCTACACGCTTGATGAAGCATCCACATCTTGCCTGTGTGAAGAGCACTATTTTAGGAAGGAATCAGACCCACCTACAATGGCCTGTACAAGTAAGCATGTGCTTATAGGGTTGTTTTTAATCCTTTTGAGCTGTTCCTGTACTGTGACTAGGCATTATGATCCTAATTAATGTGCTTTTACAGGCTCTGGGCTGGAGTCTGAGCTAGTCTTGACACGCTTGTAATGTTACTGGCTTTGCCCACCGTGCTCCCGCTTACACGAGAAGAGACTTTTCGAAGCCTTTTGCTTCAAAAGCTGGCATTAAACCCGGGAAGCGTTTTTGTGATGCACGGATGCTCCATCTCTTGCTGTCTGCTCATAAGGCAGCAGTGTGGCTTTCAGACATCTCCATCGGTGCGTGCTTGGGTACCAGCGTGGGGCACGCGCGCGGGGCACACCAGCGGTAGGCATGGGTAGAGTCTGCATGGTCCCACCTAGTGTCATCTCTTAGCTCCTTTTTGGTAAACAAGCAGGGAGAGAGCCCTGCCTTTCCAAGCCACCTGGAGGTGGTCGTTCTTCAGGTAGCCTCAAAACGCTGCGATGGAAACTGCAGCAAAAACGTAGAGCTTATCCCCTTGGTGTAGGGGGAGGGTAGTGTAACAAGTAAGTTGGAGTATTGGGAGTCCAAGGTGGAGTCTGTGGAATCAGAATCACTAATTTTGCCCTTTTCCTGCCGTCTGTGAGCTATCCTGTCAGCTGTACCTTGAAAGTTTCTTGTTCCGTTTAAGCTTCAGATACTTCGGGCCACAATTTGTGTGCCTCCAGCCAGTCCCACCAAGTTGTTGCTGTGCTGGGTCTGTCACGCTCCAAGTGTGATTTTTGCAGTGCAAAAGTGGTTAAAATGGACCAAAGAGGAGCTGAGCTACTGGGACAGGAGGAGACAGAGCTTCCAAGGAAGTTAAGTGATGGAGGAAAAAGTAGATTTGTGAGTCTGTGCACACTCGGAGCCACTGGGCAATGGTGCAGAGGTGACTTCCATACTGTTTCCTTGAATCATGCAGGCATGGTAGTGGCTTTTTTTACCTTCATCACAGATCTCCTTCCGAGCTTCCCAAGTTTGCACTTCAAAAAGAGAAAGAAAAAGCCTGTTCCTTATGGAGAGATGCTCTCATAAAGGAAATTGCCCTTGGCAGGTCTCTGCTTGCTCACAGGAGGCACTCAGAGCAGAATCGGGGCCCGTGAGCTCTGCGTTTGCTTTTCACCAGCCGAAGAAGCTTGAAGCACGTGGCTGGTGGAAGGTGGGCTCCAGGGAAGAGGAGAAAGCCTTAGATTAGCCGATGCTGTAGGATCAAAGTGGTTTGGAGGAGTGAGTCATGGAAGCACTTCTCAGTTTATTAAATAGATACGCCGGTGTCTTTTGGAGCGGTAGCTCGGGTGGGTTACAGCATGAAAAACTTTGATACCAGAGCTTCTTGATGTCCATTTTGCCCCTTGGCTTGACTTAAAAAACGTAGATAAATGAGAGACAGTGAGGTCCAGCGTGGTATTGGGAAATGGGAAGGGAGAGCAGTACTCTGAGCTCTGGGAACGCATATAAAACCAGCTTTTCTGTGCAGGCAGAACCAAAGCCAGGGACTGGTGCAGAATTATACCAGGCTGCCAGTGTCCACAGTGCCTCCTGCCCATCATCGGTGGTGTTGCTCTCTGTCCCTCCTCAGGGTGGAGGAGTACACATCCAGTCTGTCCTGCTGGTGAATTAGCACAGGAAGGAGCTGCCATCCCTGAGGAAGAGGTTTATGCACGCCTGTGACCTGAGCGTGGGGCAGGATTTTCAGACAGGCACAGGGAAGCTTGGTGACCCATTCATGGTAAAAAGAAACGAAATTCGAGTGCCTGTCTCCCCCAGATTTCTGATGCCATTTGAATCCTAGGTAAAGGCTGTAATTTCTGATTCTGCAAATACTACGAGATTTTCTTTTTGTGTTTGTTCGGAGGTTTTTATGCTTATTTGTTGCTTTTTTTTAAAAAAAAAAAAAGTTTGTTTGAGGGTTTTAATGTTTGGGTAGTTTTGTTTCAGGGCTTTTTTTGTTTTGAAAGTGTACTATAGGCTAGTTTAAAGTGTGGGCATGGTGCCTGAAGCTGTTAGGATATGGCTTGGCAGGGCAGTGAGTGCTTCTGGGGCAGGTTTAATGCTGACCAAGGCACTGCTCAGCTTCTGTTGCCCGCTGCAAACCCCGGTGCAGCAGGTGAGGATGTTGCAGCATCTCTCCTGGCCTTCACAATTACTGCCCCAAAAGCAGAGTGGATCATCTGAGCCTTCTCCATGTGCTTCAGTCACCCTCGCTTGCCCTGCACATCCTTTCTGGGGTTTTTGTCCTAACCCAGCTGTGTTTGTGCTGAAGATGATGAGGGGGGCCCATGTGCTACCCCAGCTCAGCTGCAGGGGTAGTAAATTTTGGCAGGGACAGTGGGAGTCAGTAGCGACTCTTAACATTTTAAACCAGTCCAACTAGATCTGGAAGGGAACATCTCATCGTGAACTGGAACACAAGCAAGACAGACTTGAGTCATGACTGGTAGGAAAATATTGCAAGTTTTTTGTATGTTTTTATTATTTATTACCGCAGAAGTTAATAATATTCATAGGATTCCCTCGACTTGATATCTAGTTAATTTTAGAGAATACATCAATGTCTGTTTTCAGCTCTACACCTGCAAAGTCCCCTTGCGAGTCGGTATAGCTATAAAATCCCATTTTCCTAATTTCAAGTGAATGCTTTTCAGTCCCAAGCTGCATGAATCTCCCTACCACCACCAGCATCCCTAAAGAAAACTAATTGCTACACCACTGTCAACTGCTCAGATAAGTACAGTGGGGAGGGGAGAAATAAATACATTTTTATTTAATTTTTTCCAGTTCCTTAAGCATGTTTTATAAGTCATGATTGGTAATTTTGAAATTAATAATGCTGTGATGCAGTCTGACATAATTATTGCCCTCAGACAAAAAAAAAAAAATTTGGTCCTGATCAGCATTTGAGAATTCTCTTAATATTATTAGGTATCTTCTAGGAAGCAGTTATGCTTTGTTTCTTCTGAACTAAGGAATCCTAACTTCAGTTCCTTGCACAACATCTCTTTCAAATGAAATTATAGTTACACTCTTTTTTTTTTTCCCCTCCCATCTCTGGCAAGTAACTCTATTGCTGCTCAGAGCCTATTGGGGAAATATTTTTCATAGTATGACACATGGGACAAACTGAATATTTCATAGTATTTAGTGTAATATTCTATTGGCAAGAAGTTTACAGTTAACTTTGAGTGTGTACCTGTATGTATTTGTATGTCAAGGGTGATTTCCCTCTCAGGTTATATTTTTTAAATATGTGCATCAGCAAACAACTGATTGGCTGTCCATCAAGAAAAATCTTTGTCTTCAGAAAGTATTTGCCTTTAGTCAGTAAATTGGGATGCAGAAGGCGTGAATCTTACCTACTTAGAGTATAAAGCAGCAAATTATAAATAAATAAATCAATCAACCTGTAAACTAATACCTTTGTCCTTGACAAAAGGAGGTTGGAAATTAGAACAGACCTTCTTAGCAGACCTGGGGCCCTCCTCTTCCAAAAGTAAACCACGGTTCTGTTCTCCCAACTGTGATTTATCCAAGTTTTACCCACGTGTGGTTTCAGGATTCTTCACGTCGGTCTTGTTCGATATCTGCAGACTACTAAAGACCTTTCTCTGATCCCCTGCGAGAATGCTAATTTTATAGGTTATGAAGTCCCACTAGCTTCAAAGCACTTCCACTGAAGTCGATGTTTTTATGCCTTCAAGAAGAGCAGCTGACTTCTGTGCAAAGCCAAGTAAAAACCTCTGGTGACTTTACAAAAGTAATAATTTATCCCCGTGAAAGATGCATTGTCCAGTGTTTCTTGTGCCTGAGTTCTTCATTTTTTTCCTAGAGTACTGGTAGTGGTAAAAGGGCATTCATTCAGTGAAAGAAAATTTAGGGTAATTTACCCAGTAAAAAACATATAAATGGTGTCATTAGCTAAATAGTGCTGGTTGTGAGCAGCTTGCTCCCTGTTCGTTGGGATCTGAAGTGGTTGCAGACCAAAACAAAGCTGATCTACCATTTCCTAAACTAACTTAGCTTTTGTCTTCAAGTGCTTTTTTCTCCCCCGAAGGAAAAAAAAAAAAAATATCAGGATTATTTATTTCCTCTGACAGGGAGTTTCTCATTGAATCAGAACAGCTTGAGTCGAAATCATGACAGTGTTTTATCAGTGTTACAAATTTTATAGACTTAAGAAGGAGAATAGGAAAGGGAAATAGAGGAAAATTCTTGTGGCTTATAAGGTAATTTCATTTTTGCAACACTGCCTGCTTTAAATAACGAATCGAGTTTAATTATCACAACAAAATGAAAAGATGACAGCCTGAGACAAGCTGTTAAATTCAGGTGGATTTCTAGCTGGTGGAGCTACTTGTCGGGCTCTTTTCAAGGAACTGCTCGTGAGGTTTGACAGCTTCATTCAGACTGAAGGAAAGTGTGTTGTCTTCCCTCCTCTACCTCCCTTGGAAAAATCCCAGTCTTTGCTGTATCGCTTCTGGTGGTGCTGTGACTAAAATCCATCCCGGCTTCCTTTAATAAATTTCCCCTTTCTTCCTCGTTCATTAGCATTCCCTGGGTATATAAGGTGTGGATCTCTTCCATGAGATTCCTGCTTGTCCTTTCTCATGGTCTTCAGAGTATATCTGCAGCTTGCCCTTCATCTCCAACAGAAACCTGTTAAAAAAAAAGCTTGCAGCACCTCCTGCAAGTAAGCAATCTTGAAGGTGTCTCCAGGTGGGCTTTGCGTGCCCAGCCGTTGCCTTTCCCAGCAGGAGAAAGGAAAACAGCTCGCCTTTTGCAGGAGCTCTGGTACCTCTGCAGCAGCTGCTCCTCCTCGGATAGCCTTGCCAGCGCCACGCGGGCATTCTGAGCGGGGAGGCTTGGCAAAACAAGCAAGCATGGTGTGGCTAACCAACCATGCTGGAGCTTGGCAGGGACCAGGCAGGCTGTCGTTGAGTAGCCAGATATGGCCGTGTTTCCAGCGGCCCGTGTGGATCACCATCTGCTTTGGGCTACATGGAGTGTGATTTGGATGCCCAACCTTAGGCTTCGCTGTTGCCAAATAGCTGTTGGGGAGAGGCGGGTGCACGCAGAGGGAAGATTTGGCATCCGAGTTGAGCACCTAAACAGTGCAAATACCCCAGCACGTGTCTCTTTTTAGGACCTCGAGCTGCTCATACAGGGCAGTGGGGCGAGGACGGGGGATTCTTGCCCTGGTGAAGCCGACAGTGCCGTGGGCAGAGCCAAGGATTGCAGCTCCCTTCCCAGGGAGAGCGAGGGCAGCACCAGGGGCAGTGCCCCGGCGAGGAGTGCTCCTGCTGTTGGGTTTGAGCCAACCCTGTGCCTTGTGCTTCCGTGCAAGCTCAAAACAAATTCCCCTTTTCCTGTTTCTTCGGGCGCTGCTGCGAATGGTGCTTTTTGGCACGTGAGCAACGGGGCATCTCTTTTCAGCCTAGAGAGTAGTAGAGAGCAGGATGACTGATAATACTGTTTTTACCATGTGTTTTTCTCGCTTTACAAACCAGGACCCCCCTCTGCTCCTCGGAGTGCCATCTCAAATGTTAACGAGACTAGTGTCTTTCTGGAATGGATTCCCCCTGCTGATACTGGTGGAAGGAAAGATGTGTCTTATTATATTGCATGCAAGAAGTGCAGCTCACACTCAGGTCTGTGTGAGGCGTGTGGCGGTCATGTCAGGTACCTCCCCCAGCAAACCGGCCTGAAAAACACCTCTGTCATGATGGTGGATCTGCTTGCTCATACAAACTATACCTTTGAAATTGAGGCAGTGAATGGAGTGTCCGACCAGAACCCCGGAGCCCGGCAGTTTGTGTCTGTAAATGTAACCACAAACCAGGCAGGTAAGTGGATCTTCAACCTGGGGAAATGTTGGGGGTGGGAGCCCAAACCAGTCAGACCCAGTGCAGACCTCCCTTTTAAATGAGTGGAAGTCCCCAGCACGGAGGGCTGGACTGTGGCCTCTTCAAATATGTGTGTGTGGGTGATTGTGTCTCATAGGTTAAAATTACTGCAGTCTTCAACATGTTTCCTTCCAGCAGGACACACTTAGGATTTTTTGCCTTTTTCCTTTTACATTAAGCTACTCAGGAATAGCTCCACTTCTTGGCATTTTGGTGTATCCACCCACTAAACGACAAAGAAAACATTTGCCTCTCCTCTTGGGAAGGGGAAATTTCGAAGAGTTCATTACGGTTCCAAATGCCAATGGTCAAAACATCCTAACTTTTGCAAACAGTTACCCTAAGAAAAGTGTTTTGCGTGACTTCAGGAAATGTAATCCCTTTTCTGCACTGAGATGCTAAAGTGACCGGACTCAGGCTGGTGAGATACGGTACGTTGTCACTGCTTCTCAAACAAGGTAGGGCTGAGATGTCATTGCATACTGTGTCCTCCTTGGTTTTGCACTGTACAGACAGAGATCATGTAGACCAGTTTGTTCCTTTGTCCAGGGCTCAGATCTGCCTGCCCTTCCTTTGTCCGGTGGTTGAAAAGAGCTGTCACCTTGGACGCAGACAGGGAGTTGCTGTTGTCCACTGTCATTTGGAGGTGTGATGGCAGGCAAAAACATGATTCCATCTTCTTCCACGCACATCAACGTACCAGGCACATCACACAACTTCTGTAAACCCTGGAGACCTTTCTGTCCTTCTTCTCTTGTCCGTCATGCTCTGCATTTCACGGTCTCCCCCTTTGCCTACCTGGTTTGCTCCTGCCCTTTAATTCAGAGCTCCCCAATGGCACTTGTCCGCTGGGGAGCTCTTCCAGGAATATAAACTGATGGCATTTGGGACCATGAGGACTGTGTTGTGAGATCCTTGGAGCCACCCCTTGCCTTCTCCTTCCAGACAAGGCTTAGCCAGGAGCTGGGTGCAGTATGTAGCCTAACAGCTCAATGGAGATTGGCAAATCCTCGCTGCAGAGCAGAAAAA